TAAGAATATTAGCGAAACTTTTTGTATTAAATACAAAATAAAGAAACTTGGTTAAGAGAAAAATGCTTTTATAAGATAAAAATTTTTTTTTTAATAAATTAAAAAAAACGATGTTAACTAAATTTTTATAGTATTGATTTAAAGTTGATATTTATTATTGTGACTTTCGAAAAGGTCAAATGATCTACTACATTTCATTCTTGACATTTAAGGTGTGGCTATTAAATCAACAAAACGATACTTTAAAAGGGTTCCTCCCTCCTCATAAATATTGTGTTACTAACGCAAACCCAAAGAAAGAAGTTATTGACTTCCAACAAAATATGTAAAAACACATTTTTATATGTCGAAAATAATTATTTGTAACCAAAAAAAGGTATAAATATTTCTGCAGAGGGCATTTAAATATTTTCACTTCTGCAGTATCCCTCAGATTTTGTTATGGCAAGAATGGCAAGAAATGTAAAGTCTAGAGTACCTAAAATAAGCAGTAGATCAGTTCGTTAGTATTATTTATCTAAAAATCGTTGTCAAGTTGCAGTATTAACGTTTTGTGTTCATAAAATAAACACTTTGCTCCCTCATGGAGATTTTTTGTGATCAATTTATGGTAACTTATTTGGTATTACTATAATTTTAAGAAGGTGTTAAATTGTATTTTTGGGTATTTGCAGAGATAGATTTTTAACATCCATAACATTCGTCATATTTCACAATAAAAGGTTCAATAATAGGTCAATTTATTCGTTTTTAAATATTCTCCAAGTTGTTCATAATACTTTTAAATATACGTAAATATTTTTGGGGCGTATGATTATTCCCCAAATTTCAATTTCATAAATTTCAAGACATCGAAATTCTTATTACCGATATGTCAATTCACATAATTTTTATACTGCGAAATACCATTTAACATAATTTTTATTTTTTCGAATAATCATTTATTCTAACTTATAAATAATAGAATGATCTATTGACATAATATTTATTTGGCCGAAAACTTCTTTAGCATAAACTTCATTCTTCCGAATGGTTATTTTTCACAATTATTAATTCTCCAAATGATTACATAACCTAAAATTCATTCATACTAATCGCCACTTAATATAATTTGCATGTTTTTGAAATGTCATTTCACATAATTTTTATATTTCGAAATAACGTTTAACATAATTTTTATTTTTTCAAATAATCATTTATTCTAATTTTTAAATAATCAAATAACCTTTTAACATAATTTTTATTTTGAACAATGACTATTGGTTAGAAGTTTTAAATGTTCAAATTTCAATTATCTAGAATTTTCATCTAATCCACGAAGTAGTATAAGGAGCTCCCACTCTATAGGCCGTTTCTGGAAATCCTTCCCCAACTTTCAGGATAAAATGTAAAGACGTTAGAATAAGTCGATACTAGCAGCCCTAGCGCAAAAGCGAAATATTACAGGCCACGTGGTACATAGATATATGTACGTATGTGCAAGACTGTCAGTTCGTGTTTTCGTAATCCGTTTTCTTTGAGAGAAAATAATGTAAAAAAAATGAGCAGTTGTTTTATAAAAGGGTGTACCTCATCGTGGTATACGAAAAAACCAAAAAATTGTTACAACAATGACAAGAAACATCATTTCTTTTCACCTCTTTCCGTAAGTATATACACCACATATTTTTAAATTATATAATTTACTATTTATATTATATTTATATATCTACCTATATTACAAAAAGATATCGCCGCCAACGCCGCCGCCGCCGCTGTTCCAAGACTCTGAATATAGCCGCAAGTCAAGAGAAGGGGGGACTAGCGGCTATATTCAGAGTCTTGAAACGATCTTAACCTTTAAATTTAGGGTGGGGGAGGGGAAGAGAGGAGGGGGGATGGGGGTTGGCGCGCGAAGCCGCTGCTTCAAGACTCTGAATATAGCCGCAAGTCATGAGAAGGGAGGTAGAAGAGAAGGGGGGGACTTGCGGCTATATTCAGAGTCTTGAAACGATCTTAACCTTTAAATTTAGGGTGGGGGAGAGGAAGAGAGGAGGGGGGATGGGGGTTGGCACGCGAAGCGCGCAGGGGGCATAGCCCCCTAGTATATATATATATCATTACTATATTATAAAAAGATTTCGCCGCCGCCGCCGCCGCTGTTTCAGCAAATTTTGACCTAGGAGGGGGGATATCCCCCCTCCTTTCCCCTCCCCCGCCAGAAATGACCTAAATTTTGAGGTTATGTTCGTTTCGAGGCTCTAAATATAGCCCAAGTCCCCCCTCCCTCCTCTCATTTCCCCTCCTCCGCCAAAAACTACTAACCATATCAAAAACATGGGTTGGTTACACTTCATGTAGAATGACCCATATATATATTATAAAAAGATTTCGCCGCCGCCGCTGTTTCAGAAATGTTGACCAGGATGGGTCATTCCGTGTCAAGTGTACCCAACACATGTTTTTGACAAGGTTAGGTAAGAGTGAGCCAACCCATGTTTTTTACATGGATAGTACAATATTTGGTTACATTTGATATGGAATGACCCATCTGAATATAGCTGCAAGTCCCCCCCTCTCCTCCCCCTTCCGCGCAAAAAATGACCTAAATTTTAAAGTTACGTTCGTTACAAGACTCTCAATAGGGCCGCAAGTCCTCCCCCCTCCCTTACCCTCTCACCGTATTTCCCACCAAAAATCACCTAAATTTTGAAGTTATGTTCGTTTCAAGCCTCTAAATATAGCAAGTGGAGGTAGATTTCCTGCCAAAAATGACCTGAATTTAAAGGTTATGTTCGTTTCAAGACTGTGAATATAGACGCAAGCCCCCCCTCCTTCCTTACGTTAAGGAGAGGTGGATTTTCCGCCGAAATTGATATAAATTTTAAGGTTAAGTTATTTTGTTGGGAAACGACCAAGAAACAAACATAACCTCAAAATTTAGGCGAAAATTTGGTGCAAAAAGACAAAGAAACAAACATAACTTCAAAATGTAGGTCAAACTTTGAAGGAAAATTACCAAAAAACGAACATAACCTTAAATGTAGGTCAAATTTTAGCTGGAAAATTTAAAAAATTAGATAAATTTTGTTTTAAAAATTAAAAATAATAAAAATTATTGTTAATAAAAATCGCAAATAACATTTGAAGAAATAAATAATAATATATTAATAATAGTTTTAAATTCCAGAAATTATTTAAACATTAACTCAAACATCTACAAAACCAATAAAAAATAAAAAATAGGTGGTTGGCGCGCGAAGCGCGCAGGGGGGCGAAGCCCCCCTAGTATATATATATATATATATATACTTTCCAAGAGAAAAAATATCAGTTTAGACTTAGTATAATAATAATAATATTATAAGCATTTTCAGAAACAAAATTCATGCCTTTTTCAAGTAAAAATTTTACATTATAGCAGTAATTAATCGTTCTGAAATATACACAAATTACGACAGTGTCACTAAACAAAATCATATATGTCATTTTCGTTAATAAAAATATTTTTCAAATCGAATGTGAAGTGAAGTAATTCCTGGAGGCGAGGAATTATTGAAGCGACACAGAATTTGTCAACTTCATTTTGAAAAAGATGACGTTATAACAGATTATGTTACTTAAGTAATCTTCATTCTAGAGGATTCCTCTAAATGTAATGCATATTTTCCTCTTAATTTTGGTATCAAAAGTAATAATCTTAATTTGGAAGGATTTTCCTCTCAAAAAAATCCTCTTAAAGGAAGAATAATATTCTAATATTTTGACAAGTTGAAAATAACCGTAATACACAGGTTTTGAATAAATTATTAGACAATAATGGTTATGTATTGATAATAAAGTACAGTTTTGATACATTGAATTAAATGTTGATATCAAAACTTCAACAAAAAAAATGCCTAGTGTTATTAATGTCAAGAGAACCAATAATTTTTTTAAATTTGAATAATATAATAAATATTTAATAAGATTTAATTATTTACATTCAAAAAAGGTAAATTATAATAGATTCCTGGAATAAAGAATTAAATATTGGTTATTAATTAAACATTTCTGAAAAAAATTTCTTGCTTTTTGCTGAGCATCAATACATTAGATTTCATTACAATAATAATAAAAAATGCTACAGCCAGTTGCAAATATCAAAGAAGTTCGACGCAAATATTTAAGGAAATTAGTAAGAAATGAAGATTAATCGAGAGGTTATATTTTCTGTATTTACACCTCCATTCAATATATCCACCCAGATTTAAATCATTTAGTAAATCTTCAAGTCTCTTTTCACAACACTATTATGACAAAATACGAAAATTGACAGTTTCGAAAAACAAATGCGCAAATGTCAAACAGGAAAAAAATGTAATCGATATCATGTATTTACTTTTCCTTTTTTCAAATATACTAAATTTAAACAGGAAAATCGTAATTGAAGAGGAAAATGCAAAAGTACTCCTTTTGTCATTGTTCCATTACAACAAAGAATAAAAATATTCTACAGTGAAATGGAATATTCGTATTTTAAGAGGAAATATACAGAGGATTTTAGAAGAGGAATTTTCCTCTAAATTTAAGATTACTTTTTTTTGCAAAATGCCTGGTGTAAGTGAACACCGTATAAAGCGAGGGAGAGCAATTCTAAGGAAAGGAGCGATTCCTCAAATTTTTTCCGATTTAACATTAAAAAAAACCAACGACCTAGCCAAAGAAGTAATTCTCAAATATCAGGAGGGAACTTTTATTGAAAGTAACAAACAATTCCTGTTGCTTAAAGGGGAAGAAGTAGATTTCAAAGAAATGCTGAATTTTTTTGATAAGATTCCTTTACCAACGAAAAATTGGTTTGTAAATTCTGTCGAAAAATTCATCCAGTGGTCATCGTTTGGATACAACTTCAATAATTGTTCAAAAATAGTGAGAATAAATTATGACAAAACAATAAATGTAAGTTTATACTTTTTAACAAAGATTTTACTGTTTGTAAATTAATTTTGTAATAAAAGTATATATATTTACATTTGCAGGTACTTCTAGATGGGAAGGAAGTAAAAATTCCAAATTTTGATACATTTAATAATGTTAATGACGTAGTTGCATTATTAAACGAAGTTGAAAAAATTATTCTTTGTGGTGAAAGTAACAGGTTCGTTCTTAAAATAAATTTTTCTTTGTAAATATGGTTTTTCTTTGTAAGAATAATAATTGCGATTATTTATACAGATCAGACAAATGTGTAGGATTTGTTATGCAAAAAGGCATTAAAGGTCTTAAAGTTAAATTTTGCAAAGAATGTGCGAAACTTCGACACATATTGCAAAAAAAGGCTGTAGCGGTAGACCATTTAAAAAAAAATGCGAATGAAAAACCAGAACCTAAGAGAAAAATTAAAATATGCGAAAAAGAAAGAATTTCGAATGGTGAAGAACGTAAGTATAAAAGAAATAAATTCTCAGCAAAATTCCGGTTTTCCCTGTTCCAAAATTAATTTTATGTTCGCTAAGCACTCTGGATATAAGTACTAAATTAATTGAAATTAAATGTATAGGGTAAAGTACTGAAAAAGACAGTACAACAATTACAAAGACAATGTGCCATGACAAAACATGAAATTTTACATGGAGCAATTGCTACGTTATCTGAAAAAGAGCAATTAGCCGTAAGAGCTTGCTTCAGCGCAGCAAAATTGAAAAACAGACGAGGAATGAGATATAGTAGGCAATGGCTTTACGAATGTATATTGTTAAGGATCAGAAGCAAGAAAGCCTACAAGCACCTTCGTAAACACAAAATTTTAGTTTTGCCATCAACCTCAACTTTGGAGAGAAGCATGGAACAAATAAAGAGTACATATGGCTTCCAGGAAAGCGTTTTCAGAGCTCTGGAATTTAAAACAAAGCAAATGGATCCGAAAGATGTACACAGTATGTTGAAACCTAATTATTTTACTTAAAAAAATTAACATTTTTAATGATATGTTGTTATTTTACAGGGGCAATTTTGGTGGACGAAATGAAATTATCTACAACATTACATTTTAACAAGATGAATCTAAAGTTTAAAGGATTCACGAACCTTGGTGACCATCATCATCATCATCATCATCATCACAGATCTAGACTTTAGGTTGCTTCTTATCGAAAGGAAGCGCAACCAGCACCATTCTACATAAATTATTAGTAGAGTGCATTTTATTGGCAGAAAACGCAGGATTGCGTATACACGCAATAACATCCGATGGGGCATCATGGAACCGGGCGATGTGGAAAATTTTTAGAGTTTCGGAGAACTCGGTTAGCGTTGAACAAATCGTTGATAATAGCCGCAGATTGTGGTTCATATCAGATTTTCCAAACCTCGTGAAATGTCTCCGCAATTTTTTTATCAAGCACTCTATGAATCAAGCTATTTGGGTAATTGTTTATAACTTAAATATTTACTGCTGTTTATAGAAATTATAGTTTAAGTAAAAAATATCAAAGGTATCAGTTTTGTACAATAAATTTTATCACTTTTATTATATAATTCTTTAAAAACACATTCAGACACCTGATGGCTTAGTCCCATTGATCTCTGGTACGCGATTTTAGAAGTGGAGGACACTACATCGTATGCAGTCAAAGTAAATTATAAGTTAACTCGAGATCATGTGGAGCTTAAATATTATCAAAAAATGAATGTAGCTTTGGCATTTCAGGTAAAATAAATCAATAAAGTAATTTATTTTGTATTCTTATAGAGCAAAAATAAGTGAAAACAGCCAATTGCAAAATTTTTGTCTCCGATTTTTAAGTTATTTACATTTTTTAATAGGTATATGCATATACTTTTACCCCCTAAAATATTTTTCAAAAATATTATTTATTTTGGAAATGAGGGGGGGTGAAAGTTTTGGGTAATGAAATTTTCTTTTTTCTATTACTCGGAAACAAATAAAGATAATTGAGTAAACTTTGTTTTAAATTAAAGCTGAAAGTCTATATTTTCATGTCTAATCAAAGCGCTTGTTGTAAAATTAAAATTTTCAATTGTTATTAACAATTTTTTTAAACAATTGCAATTTAGAATGTGTTTTCAATGTCAGACAAAAATAATACTAGGCTGATTTGATGCGCAAAACTCTAACGAGAAAATTAAAAAAAAGAAAAAAGAGTAACCTCCAAAATTTAAAAAGTTATGAATATTTTTCTGACGCAGCGCAGGCAGCGGCGAACTCGTTGACTCGCTGACAGGCGAGATTAGCTCGCTGCTCGCACTTCCAAATAAATGACTATTTTTATAAGTATTTATATATTTGTAACACATCATCCCCCACCCCCCAAACTTATATATTTAATTTATAATTTATATATTATATATTTAATTTATATATTTAATATATATAAATTTAAGAATTTTCAAATCTTGGGAAATAGTCAATGGAAATCATATAGATATTGTCTTGACAAGCTTGACAGATACGTATGAAGTTGGTAACAAAAATTTTTTTATTAATTCGATTTATAGTCTGCTAAAGTTGTATACGTTTCTTATAGAGAGTTTCAAAAAATGTATATAAAAATATAAGAATAAATGTGAAAAGTTTTTAATTTCGCAATTTAAAAATGCCTCGTGTAATTACTTGTTGTAATCCGTTCGGTTTTGAAAAACATCTTTCTAAACCTGGTGTTTGAAAAGTGACAAAGAATTGGGATTCAAGATTTCGAGTTCTTCAAGGACTTTTTGTTTCCAAGTCGTGTAAAACTTTAATGTATGGAAGGAAAGAAAAAATTAAATTTGTTATACCCGAATTAAAACCAAATAATCAGGAACATGAATTCTTATTTATACATTTTTTGAAACTCTCGATAACAAACGTATACAACTTTAGCAGACTATAAATCGAATTAATAAAAACAAAAGAATAAAGCTTCATTTTTGTTACCAACTTCATCCATATCTGTCAAGCTTGTCAAGACAATATCTATATGTTTTCCATGTTGACTATTTCCCAATATTTGAAAATTCTTAAATTTATATATATTAAATATATAAATTAAATATATAATATATAAATTATAAATTATAAATTAAATATATAAGTTTGGGGGGTGGGGGATGATGTGTTACAAATATATAAATACTTATAAAAATAGTCAATCATTTGGAAGTGCGAGCGGCGAGCTAATCTCGCGCGTTAGCGAGTCAACGAGTTCGCCGCTGCCTGCGCGGCGTCAGAAAAATATTCATAACTTTTTAAATATTGGAGGTTACTCATTTTTCTTTTTTTTTTTATTTTCTCGTTAGAGTTTTGCGCATCAAATCAGCCTAGTCTTATTTTTGTCTGACATTGAGAACACATTCTAAATTGCAATTGTTTAAAAAAATTGTTAATAACAATTGAAAATTTTAATTTTACAACAAGCGCTTTGATTAGACATGAAAATATAGACTTTAAGCTTTAATTTAAAACAAAGTTCACTCAATTATCTTTATTCGTTTCCGAGTAATAGCAAAAAGAAAATTTCATTACCGAAAACTTTCACCCTCTCTCATTTCCCTCTAGAGGGCTGAAATTTGGTACACATATGTATTTTGGCGTGTAGATTACAGGAAAAATATAGCGAATCTCATAGGAATTGATTATCATAGCGTTGTCAAGGAAAAACCATGAATTTTTACGAAAAATCCTTGAAAATTACTATGTACCCCCCCTGGTTGCCACATCTTTTTACATAGAAAGCTCAAATTTGGTACATTTATGTATTTTTACGTGAAAATTACAGGAATAATATAGCGAACATGATTCGGATAGATTTACATAGCGTTGTCAAGGAAAAATCAAAAATTTTGAAAAAAAGCGTTTAATCCTCCTAGCGCACACACTATTTCATATTTGTATTTCACTAGTTCATATTTAGTATACATACGTATTTTAGCGTATAGATTACAGAAAAATATAGCGAGAACGATTCGAGTTGATTATCATAGAGTTTTCAAGGAAAAACTGATAATTTTCGATAAAAATCATGAATTTTCCTCAAAAACCGAAGAAAATTTTATCTAAAGTGTTTCAAATTGATACACTTTTATATATTTTTAAGTGTAGATTACAAAAAAAATATATTGAGAACGATTGGAGTTGATTATTATAGCGTGTCAAGGAAAAACTGATAATTTTTGATAAAAATTATGATTTTTCCCCAAAAAATGAAGAAAATTTTATCTAAAGAGTTTCAAATTTATACACTTTTACGTATTTTTGAGTGCAGATTATAGTAAAAATTTAATAAACATTACCCAGCAAACACGTTCTATAAATGTTCTATAACAGTGATGTCACAGTTTTACAGAACAGTTGTTACAAAAGAGTGACAGAACTGTTCTATATTATGATAACGTCACAGTTCTATAACAATGTTATGTAACATGTCTATAACACGAAAGTCACAAATGATCTGTAACTGACGTTCCAAGGTAGTTCTAGAACTGTGCTAGAAGAATGTTATGTATCTGTTCTGAAATTTTGTTGCAGTTAAGTTCTAGAAAACATTTGTTATTACAAAATGGAACAATTCTGTAACTATGTTACGTCACAGTTCTATAACACAATAGTCACAAGTGACCTGTAACTGACGTTCTAACGTAGTTCTAGAACTGTGCCAGAACAATGTTATGTAGCTGTTCAGAAATTCTGTTGCTGTTAAGTTCTGGAAGACATTTGTTACTACAATTCGGAACAATTCTGTAACAATGTTACGTAACATTTCTGTAACACGTTAGTCACAAATAATCTGCAAGTGATGTTCCAACGTAGTTCTAGAACTGTGTCGGAACAATGTTATGTAGCTGTCCTTTGTCTTAAATATAAAGTTAAATTTGAACAGTTTAAATTTGACAGTGCCGTATATGTGGTTTTATATCCAAGATAGTAGTTGCTTATCTTAGGTTTTTTCTTTTTCTATTAATTTACATTGAAAATTCTGAAACACTTTCTCCGAACCAAATAATTCATGTCAATGCCATTAAAAGAAAGTGACTCAAAATTAATCAAAATAATAGCTTCATTGTTATTCCACTTCTGCACGTAAATAATTAATTTGATGTTGAATGTGTGATGCATATTTTATACTTGTAAATATATGTGACACAGACAGTTAAAAGAGACCTACGGTCCGAAAAAATCGATTTTCATTTTTTTATTGATTCTTATAGTAAATAAGCCGCTCTTTCCAACGCATTAAACCGCAGCTTTCTAGCTGCATTAGTTTTTTAACAATTTCACTTCAAAGTTAGGTACCTTGACAAAAAAAAAGTACAACAAAATCAAATTTGACAAACTTTTCTAAAATTAGTCAAATTCGCTTGAAACTCGTTACTCAGGGGTTTTCGGGGTCGCTGATTACGAATCCGCTGTTAGTTTTTGAAAATTCAAAATGGCGGATTCAGTATGGCGGATGGCTTTTTTAAAAATTGATCGGATTCGCTTGAAATTCGTTACTCGGGGGTTTTTGGGCTCGCTGATTACGAATACGATGTTAGTTTTTAAAAGTTCAAAATGGCGGATCCAATATGGCGGATGACGTTTTTAAAAATTGATCTGATTCGCTTGAAATTCGTTACTCGGGGGTTTTTGGGGTCGCTGATTACGAATCCGATGTTAGTTTTTAAAAATTCAAAATGGCAGATCCAACGAAATTTTTGACTTTTACACAAATTCGAACAAATTTTAAATGTTGTCCTCCATATTGGATCCGCCATTTAAAATTTTTAAAAACTAACATCATATTTGTAATCAGCGACCCCAAAAACCCCTGAGTAACGATTTTCAAGCAAATCCGATCAATTTTTAAAAAAGTCATCCGCCATATTGGATCCGCCATTTTGAATTTTTAAAAACTAACATCATATTCGTAATCACTGACCCCAAAAACCTCCGAGTAACGAATTTCAAGCGAATCAGATCAATTTTTAAAAAAGTCTTCCCCCATATTGGATCCGCCATTTTAAATTTTTAAAAACTAACACCATATTCGTAATCAGCGACCCCGAAAATCCCCGAGTGACGAATTTCAAGCGAATCTGATCAATTTTTAAAAAAGTCATCCGCCATATTGAATCCGCCATTTTGAATTTTCAAAAAATAACATCATAATCGTCATCAGCGACCCCCAAAACCTCCGAGTAACAAGTTTTAATTCATTAAAACGTTCACAAGCATCAAAACCAACTTGCTAAACTTCAAAGTCGTTTTTCTCGAAATCTTTTTTTCGGATCGTAAGTCCCTTTTAACTGTCCGTGTCACATATATATTTCGCCCTGATGTAAATTTGTAATAAAAAAAATTATTAATTTCATAATAAGACATGTTTTGTGTATTTGATATATAGTTATTTGAATATTAACTTTGTGAGTAAAAATAGTAATAAAATTCTATTATATTAACAAGCATAAAGCATTTGTGCATACATTTGTAAGAAAAAAGCAGTATGTCAAATCAAATTAACTCGATATAAACATTTACATTTAATTTTTTAATGACATAAGAATGTGTTAAATATAAATTATATAACCTAATAACAACTTTATTATGCACCACAATAGTACAGGGTGTCCTAAAATTTTAGGGATGTCTGGATATCGCGTAATAATAGCGTTTTTGACAAAAAATTTAAAAATTTGTTCAGAATAGCAAAATATGTTAAAATATGCAATTTGATTTTGTTATTCTGAACAATCTTTCATTTAAGTTTCTTTTTCTCAAAAATAAGATCGTTACAAAATACCCAAATGTCTTGGAAATTTCGGGACAACATGTATAACAACACTAGATCGTTGTTACATTCACAGAAAACTAAAAGGTATTAAAATAAGCTGCAACACTTCTTAT